AAACTTGAAGCTTACATGGGAACTTTTAATATACGCTTATATTCATATGTTTATTTATTCATGCAAACATGTAAAGGTAATTAAATCTTCAGTTTGTTCGGCTGGTAACTTGACGCAGGTGAGAAACAGGTGTTTCCCCAGCAATTACCAACGTAAGTGATATGATATAATATGAAGATGCAGCTGTCATCAAATTATCATAAAGATAGAGCATACCTCTAGATATTTTTAACTACAAAAGTTAGTTTCTATAACTCAGTAAAATGGCATGAATAAGAATTGTGAGAGGGCAATTAAATGTTACATATTTTTTTGATCGGAGTAAATAATGAAGCTAAATGCCAAAAAGATAATTTTGCTTTATTTTTACTCTACGAGGCTTAGAGAACAAGCACACACACACACACACACCGTCCAGAACTCACCTGGGCTCAAAAACTCAGGTAAAACTAAAATTAATCAACAAATATAATTCAAGGCATTTGCAAGCGTAAACGTACAATAAACTTAAAAGTGAAATTAACGAATAACAAGGAGAAAAGAAAATGGCAGGACTTGTGTTCCTGCGGCTGCTGCTGCTCTTTCTGCTGCAGTGCCTCACGCACTTGCAGGCAGAGATTGCGCACACGCCTTTGGCCAGCAATCGGATCAGACTGGAGCCAGAGCCGGAGCTGGACTCAGAGGAGACGCATGTGCTGCCCGCCAGTTGCCCGCAGCGAATGGCATACGAGAAAATGCTGAACAGCATCGATGATGTCGAGGATCTGTATGTGGATGTGCCCGTGCACATCGCACTCGAGCAGCGCCAGAAGAAGCGGTAAGTCAACAATCTGTCTAAGCCCTGTCCAAATCCGATTTCCAATCCCCAAGTATTCACGTAATTTGAGTAATGCGCCTAAGTGCGCTGGCGACGCCGCCTGTCACACAAATCAAATTATGACCAAACAATAACAAAATGCGGCAGCGGCAGGACGAAGATGCCATAAGCGTCGGGGCAGGGCAATCGCGGTGCGCGGACAGAGGAGGGCTAGCAAAAAGAAACCAACAAAAATAATTTATAACCACGACGTGTGGCTGGCCAAACAAAAACCAGCGCCAGATTTTTACAGTTGCCATAAATATGAGCATTGTGTGTGTGTGTGCATGTGTGTGTGTGATGTGTGTGTGGTGTGTGTGTAGTGCTTCTTCATCTGCTTATGCCTGTTCGCCTAAGTAGTGTGCGTGCGCTGTGTGTGAGTGTTTGTGTTTTTGCTAGGCCCACAGCTGCGGCCGCGTTGCACGTGGCGTATGAGCAACTTTTTTCATGTTTTCTTTTCGGTTTTTTGTTTGTTTCTTTATTTATTTACTTTTTTTTTTTGCGTGCTCGTTTGGGCCTGGGTCAAGAAAAGCTGTCACGTTTTCGCTTAGCGCGCGCGGCTGGCAGGCATTTTGTCTTCTCGATTTGTATACTCTTGCCGTGCCGTTGGGCGTATTAGCATAATCAGGCAGTTTGTACGCGTCTTGAAGACAAATCGGAGCGCTCAAGTGTCATTTTGACCGGGTTTGTTTGGCTTGGAAAACAGCTTCATTGAAAGGATAACATTATGATGCTCGTGCATTGTTTGCTTTATTTTGATGCCATCATTTTAAAATCTGTTGAAAGAATATTCAAGAAGAACATAAACTAATTACGAATTTAACTATATAGAGCTCTCTTATAATTATTGAAAATTCATGTCTCACGATCATGTATATAAATTATGTTTCACACAAAATGAACTGAAGTAATATTAATATCAATAATAAAATATTAAATAAATAGAATTTTTATGTTAATAGCAAATTGATTGCATATTTTTATTGATACAATGTGTTTCATAAAAATGTTTGTTTACTTTGAGACATATCAGATATTGAAAGCTTTCATTTATTTGTTATACCTAGAATCGGGCAGCATTTTTTTTACATAATCTCTTGACAAGAGGCATAATAATTGATTGCTCTTTCTTTATGGTGTAATAATAAATTTCGGAGTAAGATTTCGCTACCAATGCTTGCCTACAAATCAATTAAGCAAAGGGGGATATCTACCATTTTCTAGTTGCCTGGCAAAATTGAACAACTAGTTTAGAGCTAAGAATGTGAAACATTATGATGGGCTTCCGCCTAAGATATGCTAGTTTATTAGTTATTAACCATAACGTTTACAAATGCCTCTAAAAATACACTCGAGCAATTGCGAGTTATTTAAAGATCTCAGTGAAGCGAGCAACTGTAGCTAAACGCATATCAAATTCGATATGCCGTCCGTTGAGTTTTCTTGTTCAAATTTTGTTTTACTTATTATTTTTTCAAACATTTCTGTCTTTTATTTCGCCAAAGAACGTGCGAACCTTTTAAGTTATTTCTCTTGCCAGTTTTTTCTTTAGTTTTTTTTTGTAATCTTTGTTGGAATGGTGCTTGGCTCTTGGCGCTTGTGGAGGCTGCTCTCATATAACTTTGATCATTTCTGGCATAGAATGTCAAACATTCAAATTAATGTTGTGCTCGTTGTCGTTGCTCTATGTGAGCTTACTTTTGGTTTTATTGTCGCGCGACCAGCGACCACTGGCTACCGGCCACAGTGAAGTGCTCCGATTGCGGTGCACCAAATGCTGGCTCCAGTGTCGCCTCCGCGGTGTACGTGATGGCCGTCTCGTGTTGCCGCCCGAAGCGTGTGAAAAGGAGCGAATTTTGTGCGCTGAATTTATGGTGCTTGCAGTCATTAAGAGTTCTGCTAGAATTAAGCGATCTGCATTCGGCAGTCTCTATAAGGATGGGACGGGACAGGATCTGGCTCCTGTGCAAGGCGCAATCAAGCCACAAGTCCATTTGCTTGTTAATATTTTTGCGCAAACAAATCATAAATATTAATTTAACGACTTAATTCGACGGCCCCTACCTCACCCCACAAACAAACACAGGCACACACACACACACGCACACAGACACTGCTCGCTGCGACTCCAAAACTCGAACTGGAACTGGGACTGGGCCACGCGGACTCGCCGCGCTCTAGTGACCACCTGTAGCACATACGCATATTGCCAATGGCCCGAAAATCAAAACAAACTACAAAACAACAAATTGTTGTTAATGTGTTGCTGTTGTTGTTGTTGTTGTTGCTTTTTTATGTGCGCCGCAGGCTCAAGCGTTGTAAACAACTTTTATAGCCAACCCCTTCCCAGCTACGGCAGCAGCCCCTTGCACACTTTATGGCGTGAAACTATTTATTTGTAAGCGTATCAAAGAAGCTACAATAAAACAGCAACAGAAACAACAACAGCAGCAGCAGCAACAACAGCAACAACAGCAACAACAACAACAAGTGACTAGTAAAAATTGTTTTGACCATAAAAATGCGCTGCATAATTTTTGCCTGAAACTGCGCAGACCTTCAGCGGACAGCGTTGACGACTTTTTCGTCTTGCCTCAAATAAACTTATAGTTTGCGTATTTTTAGATCAAGACATGTCGCTGCATCTGTGGCTGCATGTGCAACTGCAACTGCAACTGCCGCTGCAACTGCAGCTGCAGCTGCGTCACAGTCACAGACACTTGGGCGTCGCAGCCGGCGAGACAGAGTGCTAGCCAGTCGCTTAGTCAGCCCATCAGACGCTGCTCAAACGCCATAGTTCAATAGTCTAAAATTTCACCAAAAACCAAATCAACACACACTCGCACACACATACACACACACACACGCAGTCACTAAGTGCGCGTTGTGCCCATTCTGTGAGTGCTCTGTGAGTAATCAAGTAAATGTGAATGTGAATGCGTATGTTTATTCAAAGTTCGGACGCTGTGCATAGTTTGAATCATTCACACGCAGCCGAAACGTGACAACTGTTGCTGACAGCAAGTGCTAAGAATAATTAACATAATTTAAATTCTTATAGTTTCATAATTTCTTTATCTTGGACATTTGAAATACTTTTGATCTAAGTATTTACGAAAATCTTGTGATTGCAGCTCTTGTGGTTTCCGAGATCAATGAGTTCATAAGACGAATATAGCAGGCATACACAACAAGTTTTGTGTATTATAGACAATAATTAATTATGGGTTTTCAGTAGGGATCATTTGTCGGTTGCATAAATCTTTTCAAGTAACAGTAGGACGGGCTCTTCACAAATAATTCACTCAAATTCACTCGCAATGTGGGAGGTTGGCTGCAAAATGTGTTAAATAATTTACAGTTTTTTTTCTTGGTTTTTAACTGATGCCTGCTGCATGATAAGATATGCTCCGCTCTTTTCAGATAATTCATTAACTCTGTACAAATTACGGAGCTTGATTTTCCTTTATATTACGCATTTAAATTATTTTGTTAAATTTCAACTTGATTGATTTCAAATGAGTAGAAAACTGTGTTTGCAGAAAAATCTGCAACAATTATCTCAGAGCTTTTTAGAAATGTTCTGCATGATAAGACAATCTCTGTTCTTTTCAGATTAATCGATATCTTTGTAGAAAATTCTGATCTTAGATTATACTTCATATTTTGCATTTAAATTATTTTGTTAAATTTCACCTTGACTGCCGGAAAATGTGTAGAAAGAAAAAAAAATCTGCTTGCGCATTTAATACTCAAACATTTTTTTTATTTATTCTGTAATATTGAAAGACTTAAATAGAGTGCTGGAATAATTATGATTTATTTATTTAGTATAGTATATAAATTGAAAGGAATTTAATAAAATGTGGTTAAATACAATATATAGATAACTTTTCAAAGCTAATCTAATTCAATAATAGAAATAATCTTTTCGTAAAAAAAACTGCAAGCAAAGACTTTTCCTGCCCCAAGTTATACGCTGATTACGGCTTGATGTTGCGTAAAGCTATTTAATTTATTTTTGGTCCGTCTCAGCGGGATTTCTAATCTGTTTGAGTTCGATTTGAAAATCGTTACTTTTTGGACAAAAAACATTGAAGTGCCAAAGTTGTAAGCGCAAAGTTTTGGAAGCGATTTTTTTTTATTTTTTGGTATTTTTATTTGCAATATTTTACAAACTTTATTTAGATACTTAGTTTCGTAGCGCTAAGAGTGGGTAAATATGCTACTTATAACAATATTATCAGCGACAGTTGACGCTGGGGAGATTTTCTCTGCCAGAACTTCAAATCTTTTGCGTAGCTGTGCAGGAAAAGCAGTTCATTCAAAGCTGATTGTCAATTTGTGCAAGGCAGCAGTGTTCTTGAAGCAGGGAGCAGGGTGCAGACCGGAGACCAACAGACCAACTGACTGCCTGTGTGCCTGTGTGCCTGACTGTCTGCTTGTTTTTCATGCCGTCGCTTTTGATAGTTGCAAAAATAGAATTTTGTCGCTGATTTTAAGTATTTCGCGTGAAAACTACAACTACCAGACGAGACCAGACAGCAGCCAAGGAAGACAACAACAAGACAGCAAAGACAACGACGACCCCAAGAGGCACAGCCACATTGACGTCGTCGTCGTCGTCGCCGCTGTCGCTGCCTTCCCTCAATTGCAAATTTATGTGAATTGAGTCAATTTTTATGGTTTAGCTAGTTGGTTTGTTTGTCTGGCTGTGGCGGCTACTTACAGGACTTTGCGTCGCTTAACTGGAGTAAAACGCACCACCGGAGCCACAGCCCGGCGCACTTGCTGCCGCTCCCTATGCCACTTGCCGCTACCCCGTCGCCTTACCCGTTCTCGCCGGCGTCGACGCTGCCTCCGTCTATGGCTGCGATAGCCGCAGAGCAGCTCGCCCAGAAATATCAGCGAGGCGCTGCATATGCCCACAATTAGTATGCCAAATGGTCCCTTCAGGTGCTCCGTGGTTAGCACAATGACGGTGGCTGCGAACTCCGGTCGCATCTTGGCAATGCGATTCAAGTATGTGTTATTATAGCGAAAATCTGAGTCGATCTTCTGTATGATGCCCACATCGCGCATATAGCGTATTATCATGTTCATCTCGTAAAGGAATGGAAAGCCCGCCTTCATAATCAGCTGCATGGGGCTGGTGAAGACGTTCTGCGGAAAGGCATATATGTCGTCCGCATGGAGATTCTGCAGTATATACATGCGGCTGCTCAGTATGCAGCGCATGCCCAGCTCCACCTCCTTCAGATTCTCTGTGCGCGGCCTGAACGCTGTCGTGGAATTGTACGCCTTAAATATCCACAGATCATCCTCATTCTCGAACCAATCGCGACACTCCTCCTCGCCGCCAAAGGGTATGCCTGCCGCGACCACTTCGTGCAGCTCGTCCAGCTGATGCAAATAGCCCGGATCCTGGAAAGTGGCTATCATCTTGGATGTGTACACAGCCACCACATTGATGCCGTACAGCGTCAGCATCATGAAGAATATGCGCGTCGCCTCGCAAATGGGTCGCTCCTGCACAGTGACGCATATGGACACCGCCAGCGCGTTGATTCCAGTCAGGCTGAGCTGTTGGTAATACTGTGGCTCCGGCAGCAGCGTGACCAGCGCGTACCAGAAGAGCCAGCTCAGCACGAGCGTCAGCAGGAAACACATCCATGTGAATGGCTCGAAAATGCCCACCATTGCCTGCCATGCCGGGCGACGATCTGCCAGCTTTGTGTACCAGGTGTGCGCGTCCTGCAGGTAGCAATCGGATCCCCAGAATATGCCCTCAACCTCATTGTCCGGATAGAAGCCGCCCATGATAAAATCGCACTCGCCGTTCTCCAATTTGCCCAGCAGACCGTTCCATTTGCCATTTTCATCCAATTCACCTCGCGTGTCTCGAGAGCAGGTTTGATTTATCTGTGAATAAGGGATGGTAATTTCGGAAAAAAGAAATAATCTTTTAATGCATGCAAGCTGACAATAGGAGAGATTTTATCTCTTTAGAAATTACAAATTATTTAATTTGTATACATTTAATTTTGATTAACTGTGATATTCCTTGGAAGCAGTTTTCCATTTTGGAGAAATTAATATATATCGAAAATTAATTGCTGATATTTTCTTAGATCCTTGGCAAACGGTTTACCTTAAAATGTATAAGTATTTATCTATTTTTAGTTATATTCAAGTTAACTTCATCTATGTGCCTAGGTCTCTTATTAGATTTCTAATATTCTGTTTAGATTTCGGATTGCCAACTCTGTTCACAAAAAATCGTCAAATCTATTTGAAAGGATATGATAAGAAAAGCTAACAAACCAAAATTGAGTGTGGATTATCTTTGAGATCTTTATCTATAGACTCCTATGCCCTAACAACCGATAAAAGTCTGTTCTGTAGTTAAGATTAAATAGTAAATAATTAGCCACCCACCGTAAACTGTAAGCGACTGCGCATAAATCCCAATATGCGCATCTCGATGCCCACAATGCAGTCCTCCTCGACGAAGGGCGCCGCAATGGAGGCGCACACGTAGAAAGTGCAGTTTCTCGGGCTAAAGCCTCTGATGTAGTCCGACATGGCGACATGGACGGCATGTGGCGTGGGATAGAGCTGACCATCGTAGCACTGGCCCACGCTCTGGACGCTGAGCACGCGACAGTCAACATTGCTGTAGTAGTCGTTGACCAGCAGGTTGTAGTCCGTGGAAGAGTTGGCAAAGATTAGCGCCACACGATGCACGTAGAAGTTGCTCATGAGATCGCTGAAGATCTTCGATGCGACCGTCCAGGGCCTGTCACGCATCTGGGCATTATGGAAGAGCACCAGAAAGCGGGCGCCCGGATTCCAGGAGCGACTCTTGCTAACATAGCGGGCCATGAGCTTGTGCAGCCTCTCTACGCTGTCCACGACAATTACATAGTTATCCGCCAGCAGCAGCTCCCCAAAGACCTGCGACCTGTTCTGATGATCCGAGATGACGCGCAGCTGAAAATACTCGCGGTCCGGTGGCGTCTTCGGATCGCTGATAGCCTCATTGATGCGCTCACTGAAGCCCTGCTGTATCAGAGCGGCGGGCAGTGACATGTTAAAGACATTGGTCAGCATCAGATTGTACAAGCGTGTGAAACGCTCCAACGGATTGCGATAGAAGAAGATCTGCGCAAAGCTGTCCAGACATTCGACGCCCACCTGCCAAGTGTGCGGACCCACATCCTTTGCGGGCAGCATATAGATAACCATATTGGCTGACTCATTCGACGGATTTACTATGCCCAAACCACCAACTGGCAGCCACAGCAGCAGCAGCAGCAGCAGCGGCATTCGCTTTTCCAATTCCAGTAAATTTGGCCACATTTTCCGTGCACGTTTGACTGAACAATGGTCAAGCAACTGAGCCAACTCCTCGCATGGCGGCTTGTTTGTTGTGGGCTGTCGGCCAAACAGCCGACCAGCGGCTCTTTCTGCGTTCTTGTGCACCCTACAATGCCACGGCATTTCGACAGCTTTCATGCTCTGGCCACCTGTGCAAGATATTTGTATGGGAGACCAAGGAAAGCCGAAAGGAATGCGCTTATCCACTTAAAGCCTACATACTCTCCGTTTCGCCGTACTACTTGGCAATATTTGATTGATGTTCTATTTCTCGAAGCTTATAAAAAAACTAACAAATCAACTAACCAAATTTTATAATTAAAAAAAAGAAAACAGCCCCAATTCTATGTAACTAAGAGTCCGATGGGAAACTGGAATAGATAATAAACTTATTATTGCATAAATATGTTATAAATTTTACAACTGTTTTTGGCTGTTACCAAAACCAACTCATGTATAAAAACACTTTTAATGTGTAAGCTGGAAATTTTAATTGAACAATTTGATGAATTTAATTCAAGTAGAAATTTCGAGTAGCGCATTCACGAGTCGAGCATACGTCAGAGGGCTCACATTTCGCACATGATGTTTGCCTTTATATAATTGACTGCTGTCATCGGCTGGCAGCAACAAAAACAACAACAACAATAATTGTAATAACAACAACACAAAAAGCTTGCAACTGCAACTGCAACATGCGAGGCTTAAATTAAAGCAAATATTTGTGCAGTCGCTGCGGCGCCATCTGAAAATGGCCGCCAACAATGGAGTGCATTAAAACACTCCATCAAACAGTTGGAAGCCTTTTGGCGTTGCGGCCAAATAGACATACATATTTATCTTCTGCGGGGGTGTCACAGGGTGGCTAAAAGGGGGAGGGGAGGCAGCTGTGTATGTGTGTGTATTGGCAAATGGCGTTGGCCGGAAGTAGCCGGTCATAAAACTTGAGATGACCGGCCATAAGCCAAGTCAATGAGTCACTTTACTGCAATGGCGCTGCCGGCGCATCCTGTTGCCAGCACACACACACACACACACACACACACACACACACATACATTTGGGTGTGTGCCTGTGTGGGTGTGTACTAACTGTGGCACATTTGTCTTGGCCTTTTGTCATTAGAAAAATTGCTCATAAATTTCGCATTTAATTACAAAACAAAACTTTTTGGCTCGCCCCTTGGCCACTGTGGAAATATATAAAAACCAGTTCTGCTCTTGGACTCAATCTTCAACTGCAACATTGTTGCAGCGCCAGCTGCCAAAGGCGCTGACTCACTCGTTGCGCCCGTTGCCCCTTTGCCCATCATCTAGCTCACTCGCTTGGACACAGGCGAAACAAATTGCGTGTGATAATTTAGTGTCATGATTTTTGACAAAGGGCGTCAACAGCTCACTTACTCCGCCCCAACTCTGACCCCCGCACCGCACCAGTCCACTTTACTCTGTCGTTTTGTCTCCCTTTTCAGATTTGTGCTGAAATTAAACAACTCAACGCCGCTGATGATTCTGTTCTCAATGCCCGTGGCACGTAAGATTTACTACAATCAGACAGGTAAGTTGCTCCAGCCGCCCAGTTGCCGCCCCTCTGCTACATGCCGCTCATTCCCCTTGTCATTGCCATCCACAGCGAACCTGCTGCGTTTGCCCGCGCAGGCAAAGGGCCCCGCCACGGACAGACTGGTCCTGCCCTGCGCCCTGCGCGGCCAATACGATCTGTTTGTGCGGGCACGTCAAGGCGGCGCACTCAAACTAGAGGCACAGGCCAAGCATCCGGATCAGTCATGGCCCCTGCTCAATCACACACATCGCATCGCTATCCGCACCCAGAATCGTGTGCGCAAGCGTCAGCTGATTGTCAAATGGGAGCGTAGGTGAGTCAATTCTATATAGGATATAGTAAGGCCCTTAAGGTAATCTGAGACCAAAGATTTAATTTGGGGAAGAGAAAGTCCTATGAAAGGAAAACAAGGTGTAGCCAATATATGTATGACTGTAGGTAGAAATTAGGGTCTATAACCTCTCCTAAGTCTTAAAAAAGAGTTTAAACAAACCTTAAAGCAAAGAAGAATCAATGTCGGCGACAATCAACCATGCATTTTTGCCATGTAAGAAAGGTCGCCAACTTAACTGTTGGGGTATAATATTTCAAATTTTGGTTAGACAAGGAATAAACAAAAGTTCCACTTGTACTTAAGGCAATATTTTTAACACGGGCTCTTCAGTTTTTAATACTTATAAGTTGTTAGTTTTTGATATAAGCTGTAGAGCTGGGAACTTTATTAACCTCGACAACACTTCATTAATAGTTATATTTATCATAATTATTCCTAAATTAACCCAAACTCACAGCAAACTTGATTACCATGCCATGCACTATTGCCTGGTGATCCAACGTGTCACAGACTTCTCTACGTCCAGCTCGGGTGGCGGTTTTGACAGCTTTTGTGAGGCTGTCTATGAGTACGGGCGGCAGCAGCAGGCGCATGCGCGAGCCGCTGCTGGTCCCTGCTCGGGCGCCGGCAATATCTTGGATCTGGTGTGGTCACGCCCGCCAATGCGAGCGCGTCACCTCAATCCAAGGCACAATCTGCACATCGTGTGCACCGGCGCTCGGACAAAACAGCTGCTGCGCGGACTGCAGCCGAACAGCAACTATCGACTGCAGCTGTTCGGTGTGCATCAGCGTCGACAGAATCTGACGCTGCCGCTGGCCAGCAGCCAGGTGCATTTCAATCGCACGCATCCGACGTCGCTGCGGGAGCAGGCGCTGTCGCTGCTCAAGATTGGCGGCCTGCATGGCGTCCAGGTGTATAGCTTCAAGGTGCCCGCGACTACGCCCCCGCCGCGCTTTATGCGCTACCTGCTGCTGCCCTGTGCCGGCAGCGAGATACGCGTCGAGCTGCTGCGTCAGCATCGTGTGGTGGGCAGCGTGCGCAACATCTATTTGCCCACCTACAGAAAGCTGGAAGGCGTCCTGCCCGGCGAGCGTTATCTAATGCGCTTCGAGCCCAGCAACGAGGACGAAGCGTTGCGGGCGCAAAAAGTGCGCGTAAGTTGGCATTTTCATTCTCCCCTCAACTTATCAACCATTTGCTGAGTACTGAGACACTTTTCCATCTTTCTTTGCAGCTGGCTCTGAGCAGCGAACGCCTGTTCCGAGATCTGCCAGAGCTGCCCGACAATATAACCGTCTTCGATGTGAGCACGCGCTGCACCAGCACAACCATCGCATGGCACGGCTCACCCGATGAGCGCGCCTTAAGGTATGTGAACTTCCAATATACCAAATTGGAATATCTGTGAGCATGAGCAATGAGCTTGCTAGTTCGAATCCCCGGAAAATTAATGGATTTTGTGTAACCCTACCAAGAATATTGTTATTAATATTTTTATAGATAATTCATATATTTGATCTTTAACCCAACAGCTACTGCGTAATTGTCTTTAATCTACCGCAACGCAGCTCTGCGGATTACACAAACTATTGCATGGACTTTGGGGCGTCGCGGATAACGGAGCACAAGAACTTTAAGTATATACGCTGCCGCGAGAAGCAGCCCAGGTGAGTAAAGGTTCAAATACCGATACACTCTGACATAAACCAATTAAATCTCGCTGCAGCAACGTGGACAAGCTGGAGACGGAGACTATACTGAGCTTGTCGCCCGGCGATAGCTACTTGATTTACGTGACCGCCAACCTGAGCATGGGCAAGCCGCTGCCCTATCAGACGCTGACGGTGCACATGGGCAGCCAGTGTGTAGATCTGGAGTCGCAGGAGCAGCCCGAGTACTACTAGGCGTATACGCAATGCAGTTGTCGTAGCAGAAGAGAAAAAACTCAAAAACAAATAATAAAAACTATCCGTCGTTGTAAAGCTACCTAATCCACTAAACTAAACTAAATTAAACTATGCAATACCATACTATACTATATCTATGCGGGTTTTTGCGCTAAGCATAAAAGACTATATATCTTTAGATCTATATATGGCAAACATAGCTATGTTCACGTGTGTGTGTGTGTGTGTGTGTGCGTGTGTATTGTGTGTGTGTGGGTGTGAATTTTTTTTGTTTGCCAACAAATTCCAAGTATTTTGAGTTCGTATATTTCTTGATCGTAACCTAGCTTTAAATGTTTTTGTATAATTGTTTACGATTTTGTGTGTGTTCATTGTTTAAAATCTCGAATCGGTTTATAGTTTAGTTAATATATATCTAAATATTTATGTAAGTTTATTTTAGCGCTAGGCTTTCGCTGTTAAGTTTACCAATAATTTTTTATACACAAAAATCTTAGTTTAGCTAAGCTTAACTATGTATACAGAATATATATACATACATACATATATATATTTACATATATTTAATAGCTATAAATGTGCGCTAGTGTGGGCGTTCCAAGCGTTGTATTTTTTGAGGCGACTTAAGCAAAAAAACACTGCAAAAATCGATTGAAATCAAACTTAAATAAATAAATAATGTGGACAATAAAATGTACTAAGCATTAATAAAGTTGGCCAATGCATATTCAAAATATTTGCCAATAAACATGTACGAATAAATAAATCAATGCTAATAAAATCAATTCAGAGTGCTCTACTTGGGAGTGCACGACAAACTAAGTTTGTAACATTTAGTTTAATATGTATTCAAATGATGCTTTAAAAACTAGTGTTAACATCAATGCTTATCAAAATTGTGAAAATGGGCAGCTATTGAAACATAAAATCAACAGCTGCATTGGAGATGTGCCGGTTCCCTGGGCACAATACGCGATTTATTGCGTATTATGATTATTGATTAAATGCTGCAACTTGCAATGAATTCTTTCGGCTAAGTTGTTTGGCTAACAACCAAAAAATACAAAAATACGTGCCGGTAGCCTGATCGAGTGCATACTTGTGGCTGGTATATACCGAATCATCGCATAATTTAACTACAGTGAAAATATCAGCTTCCTAGCTCTTACGATTTGGGCTGTGCGCTGATCACCAATTAGTCAGTCAGTCCGTCAATCAGTCAGCCAGTCAGTATATATAGGTGGTATTTCGGAACTTGGAAACACCGGTATATGCCAGTTTATATATCAAATGAGCAGATGGACTTTACAGCAACCCAATATGATGAGTATATTACGCGCGTTAAACATAAATCTCTCTGTTTATAAATCTGATTGATCTAATTGAAAAAAAAAAAAAACAAAAGTATCAATGTATTTTTAAAAATATTTTTTTATTGTTATAAGTATTTAATTTTTTTTAACAAGCAGTTTTGATGCATAATTGCGTGGGTCAATTATATAAGAGGCATATTATGTAGAATTAAATTCATTTTTCCAAATGATTAACTCAACAAATCATTAACAACTACAATGTTTTATGTTGCCAGTCTCTCTCTTTATATAATGTCTATTACAGCATTGCCTCGCTGGTTTTTCAGTAGTATCGATTTATCAATGGATCTGCCATGGTGGCTTGGCATTTTTTACCTGTTCGTATTTCTGTTTATCTCAACCCATGGATACTCGCGTTTAACGGACATGAAATGTAAGGTTTTAAATCGGACAAAATTTGATATCTCGCACTGTTCCCTTACGGATCTGGGCCATGGTAATGTTAGTGCCAGTGTGCATTTGAACGTGCATCAGCCACCGGACAAGAACTGGATGGTTAGCTATGGCATCTGGAGAGATCAAGGCGGCTTAAAGCCATTTTTCCATAATATTTCACTGGACTTTTGCCGCTTCTTGAAAAATCCGAGTCGGTTGCAACTGTACTACTCCTTTCATAAGGCTATTTTGCCCTTTTCCAACTTGAATCACTCCTGCCCCTACACTGTGAGTACCTGCAAAGCGCAATCCAATCAGATCGTGTTTTTGTTTACAATACACTCTCGTTTAGCACGATATCATTGTGAAGGATTTATTGTTGGAGGACAAAATGTTTTTACTTATACCGATACCCAAAGGTAATTATATGTTTAACCTGAGGTTGGGCAGCAATTCCGTCTGGGCGCTTGATCTACGATTTTACGTTGATTTAGATGTAAGCAAATCACTTCGAAAGAGGAAGCCGGGTTGATTATCGTAAATAATAATTATAACGATAAAAAATATAAATTAATGTACTTCATAAATGGCAAGAATACTCCTTATTTATTTTAAGTCACATCAAGTCGTTTAGTTTGCGGTTCAATTATTACAAATTTCGTTGCATACTTTCAGGCGACACGTATGGCATTTAATTGGCATCGTCTGCGCTGATCATTGACAATGGTCGTGCTTTGGTTGTCAATTGTCTTTAAAACCAATTTGACAGTACAAGAAAACGTCAGATTTTGTCAAATATATTTCTGTGCAGGCTTAAGTTTTTAGCTGCTCTCCTAGCTTTATACAAAAAATGATTTTTATTTTCAGTTTCGATGCCATGCAATTTGCATGGCTGATTGGGTTTTATAAGAGGCAATATGTATTATTAACAATTTTCGTTTTCAAATGATTAACTCACAACATTTTCAATAATTACAATCGATTTTGCTGCACATCTATATTGAAACCCTAGTAAGCCATTGAGGTTTTTTCATTAGTATCAATTTGCCAGTGGAACTAACATGCGGCTCATAATTTGTTACCTTGTAGTATTCCGATTAATGTCATCCTATGGACTTACGCGCTTAAGGAACATAAAATGTCAGGCATTAAATCGTACTAAGCTTGATGTTTCAGCATGTTACCTGAAAGATCTGGGACGCGGAATTGTTGGGGCCAATGTGCATTTGATTGTTCGCAAGCCACCAGCTAAGGACTGCTTGATCAACTATAGCGTCTGGAAGGACCAAGGCGGGTATAAGCCATTTTTCTATTATGTTTCATTGGACTTTTGCAACTTTTTGAAGAATTCGATTCGGTTGCAACTTTTCTATCTCTTTCATCTCTTTCCGCTTGGGCGACTGAAGGAGGGGCTGACTGATGATAATTTATGATGTATATATGTAAAATATTTCAATTTTGGTTTGCAAAAGTTTTTTTTTTTTATTCTTGGTAAATGTTACTAATAATTAAAGGAACTCATAAAACATTTTTTATATACAGCGATTAACTATTGCATATACAAAATGTTCGGATCTTATAAATAATCTAAGCATAGGGGAATGTAAGGATAGATTGATCATTATCATAAATAATAATAAATATAAAAGGACTTGAATATATTTTATCAAATATACGTTTGTTCAAAGGCTGGATTTACTCAGTCGATGCCTAGTTATTAAGGCTAATGGCTTATTATTTAGTTAAGTAATATTCGTGCAGACCTTTGTGATTTAGCTCTGCGGCCTTTAAAGGGCAGTTATTTATGGTGCGAACCAACCCAATGATCCACAGCTTATACAAAGTCTATAATGAGGTATTTTTATGTGTATATATTCTAGCCACACTTATCTGACAGATGACGCGCTTCCAGTGCGCTGTGAACCGTGGTCAATCGCCCGACGGCGCATCGCGTGTGGGTTCAGCCGATAGCAATCAAATGCGCAGCTAAGCGATTGATAAGGCCCGGCGATATCTGGCGATAATCTTAGCTACACGTTAAACGTACATCGGTAGCAGCTGACAGGCGGCAGGCGGCAGGTGGCAGGTGGCAGGTGGCACAAGTGAATATTCAATATTCCTTCAGTCACATCAAAGTCGCTCAGGTCGTCGCACGAGCAATTCGAAATATTGTTGCATACTTTTGGGGCGCGCGTTTAAATGGCATTGCGATCGCTGATCATCGACACAGACGACTTATATCCGATAGTGATCGCAAGTGATCTGTGCCAAATACATGACACACCACGTTACATATTCATGGCGCTGGTCACGGTGCTCTTCCTGTGCACCTTTGTGGGCAACGTGAGCGCTTTGTATGTGAACACCAGACGCAAACTGCGTCCTTTTTTTCGTGCCTGCCTCATCTCGCTGGCCTGCAGCGATCTGATCTATTGCGTCAACTTTACCACCTCCAACACTGCCATGTTCAATGCGGAATATCTGGAGTATTGGGTGGGCTACATGCTTTTTGTGTGAAGCTTAATCTTAACTGTGTGCTCTTACAGATTCTCGGCCCGTTCATGTGCAACTTTGTGCCGTTTGTCAACACTACAACTGTGCTGTGCAGCAGTTTTATGCTGGTGGCCATTGCCCTGGATCGCTATATGGCCATTAGACGTGCTGCGATTGGCATTTGGAATCCAGGCTTTGTATTCTGCGGCGTTTGCATTGCTGGCATTTGGCTAGCCTGCATGGCCGCCGCGGTGCCTCTTTTCTTCATCTATACCCCGATCCAGGTCTATATACAGAACACGGATGAGCTGCTGATCAGCGAACTGGACCAGGCTACCATGTGCGTGGGCAGACGGGTGAGTTGCAACTGCTTAACAGCACCAAATAGGGCTTGAATGCAGCTTTAGCACAAATATGTAAGTCTTATGGAATTTCCTTAGTCGTGTTTAAAAACTTGCTAATCTCTGAGATACTTGTAAGACTTGCAGTTTGCTAATGCTTTAATTTGACACTCTATTGTAACACTGCGAGCTGTAAGCTATAGGGTCAGGTACTATGATTTGTGGAGGCAATCATAATTTGACAATCATTGTTGACATAAAGAGTAAAAGCTATAGAAAGGAAATTAACATTCTCGAACGAATACTTTCCACGTAGTAGAGTGAAACATAGGTGAAAAACAGCGTATAACACTTGTGTACAAACTATTTAAAAGTGAGTTTAAATCCAAACCAAACTTTTGTGCTCAAAAACCTATAACGCTGCATTTTACAAGTTTTCCAAGAGATTATCAGTTAGACAGTCTGTCATTCAGTCAATTAATTTTATATATAGCAAGAACCAGAAGAGCTCTATTTAACGGACGAGCACTCGAAATAGCTAATTAATTTCAGGAATTCCATAAGCCCATTCACACATATCCGTTATCTTGAGCTGCATACTAGCCCTTACATGCTGTTGACATGTGTTTCCTATCTTATCGGGCAAACAATTTGCATTTCTGTTCATGTGTTTGCACAGACCCAAATTGGAATCTATAATAGTGTGTCGCTCAGCCTCGTCTTTGTGCCCTGCATTGTGGCGTTCGTTTTTCTCAATGCGACCATTGCGCGGCAGCTGTGGCAGCTACGTCACCAGCAGCGCAACCTGCAACAGCAGCAGCAGCAGCAGAGGGAGCAGGACCAGCCGCGCTTTGTTCACCTGCTAAACAAGCCAGAGACAACGTATGCCATGATGACTGCCTTCAGTGTGGCTGCCTCCTTTGACATGAGCACTGCACAGTTGACGGGGCTGCCGCCTCCGCTGCCGCTGCCACTGCCGGAGAAGCTGAGTCCCGCGGCAGCGGCACGTGTGGCACGCCATCGTCGCATGGTGCGCGTGGTGCTGCTGATGATGGGCGCGTTTATGTGCCTGCGCCTGCCCGCCTGGACCTTTCTGCTGATGCGAGTGTATGGCTCCTTCTCCTCGCCTGTGTCCTGGCTGTTCTACTTTAGCTTTGGCTTGCTCAACTTGACCAGTTGTGCACTGAATCCACTGTTCTACACCTTTCTGCCGCAGACCATTCGAGTGCTGTCCAAGCTCAAGCGTGCGCTAAGCCGGCTGCTCTGCTGCCGACGGGCATCCAAGTTGGAGTCGGATGCGACTATGCCCCAGGAAACTGCCGAGCGGGCCAGGCGTTGTCTCTGCTGTGGCCTGCAGGTCACCTGGCGCTGCCATCTGAAGTCCCCACCGGCAGCAGCCGGAAGCGTCGTAACCCAGACTGTGGCAGTTATCGAAGCGCCCTCCGCTGCCAGCAGCCTGCCACCGGTTGGTCACTGCAAGGACGACTACAAGGACCTCGCCATCTACAATGAGAACTCGCTGCAGACAACTGCTTCAATGAAATCCTCCCGCTGAGAGTGCGTTATCAATCATTCATCGCCTGATGGCAATTATGGAATTGATCAATATAAGGCAACGATTTGTTGTTATTGTTGACTGCGCTGATCAGTGTCACAGTTCACGCGTTTACTGATAGGCTTCAACGTGAATTTGTCTTTGACTTGTATGTGCACATATATGCGTATGTTTGTATATAGATTGTAAATAAAGCTACAGTAAAAACACAGACTATGATTTTCATACATTATATATGCACACATATTATGATAATTATCATCGAGTTCTCAAAAACTGGCAATGTTTTACTTGTGTGAAATATAACCTTAAACTATTTGTGATGAATGAGTCATGGAGTACATTTTATATCTGCCAGCTCAGCATTCATACTATACACAATACTCTTTATCTGATATTCCTCAGACTTGCATGGATTAACATATATCTGTGAGAATTTGTAGTATCAAAAAAACTAGAATTTTTATTTTAATATTTAATTTTTTTTAATAAAATATAAAACAGAATTGCTTAACATTGTTTTTAATAAGAAATTAGAGCAATTTTCAATTTTTGTAATGCATTGCAAAACACATGTTTATTATACGTCAATAACAATATAATTAATTAAATGTCGTGCATATACAGAAGTATTTAACATTAAAACAATTTCCGTTCTTAAACAATAGCTCTGGACTTGTTTCAAGATAAGCATCAGTCTAATTAATGTCAAAAATTGCTGAAGCGAACGATTTATTACGCTCCTATTGTGAATTTAATTCAATGAGCGTAACGAAAGCTTATGCTCACACCTTACTCTCTCACTCTCTTTTACACTCACTGTGAACAGCTGTTTGGCGCTCGCAAGCTTGACTCAAAAGCTTCGTCAGTTTTGTTACTGTTGCTCAGTTGTTGACGGCGTTTCGTGCTGAGCAGTTGGCTTGAAGTTTTGTCTGGCGGAGACGGCGCGAGGTAAAGACCGTATACCGATAAAAGGCAGCCAATCGGGTGAAATCTACGCAACAACAACAGCAACAACAACGGGTCGTGTCTTCTTTAATCAATGTTCGCCGTTCGGCATTTCAACGCATGCCAAAAGTGTACGAAAATTAGTGAGAAAATTGTAAAATAAATAATACCAAGTCAAACAAAGCGAAATGTAAATAAATGAGGCCAAGCGATAAAAGAGAGTCGCGAATTATGGCACACACCCGCTTATAAATAGCCAAGCGGCCACAAAGGAAACGAAAAGTACCAAAACAAAATCAAAGCAACAAGAACAAAGCGCTGCAAGAGAACGAAAGTTCACAGTGTTGAAATCCAACCAAAATAAAATTCAATTTGTGACAGGTAAAAGCAACAATTAAATTTAACTGAACCATTTCTGTAAGCATAAGCCTTAACCCAGTCAAAACACAAACCAGTTGCGTTTGTTACACATTTCGTCAGTGTTGGAAAAAAACAACATGATCAAAAAAAAACATGTTCGCGCATTTCACTTGACCAATACCCGTTGTCGCAGCCGTACGCATGCGCAACTGTCGGACCGTAGCTTGGCAGCTTTGGTTTGCAAAATCTGAATTACGGTATGCCGACGCCGACGCTGACGCTGACGCTGACGCTGACGACGTTGTCAAAGCTGTTAATGCACCTGTTTCACTTTTCTTCTTTAGCTGTCAAGCAACCGTATTGTTTGGGCCTGGCATTCTAAAGCTTCCTCGCGCCCTCTCTCTCTCTCGCACTGCGCACTCTTTCAGCCAATTGCCGTTTGTCATGCAGCGCGCGCCATACGCAAGACTTCTTTGGGCCTGGTTACGCAGCGCTTTCATTTGTTTTAGCCGCCTTTGGCATTTCGGCCAGTCTTTTATTTTCTGTCTTCTGTTTTCCGTTTCTGTTTCTGTTTCTATATCAATCGTGAGTTACATACAACTCTTTCGGTAGCCGCATACTTAATTAGCTAATGCTTACTAAAATCAAATATATTTACATGTATGTATATTTGGCTTGAATATAGGCCGCCAGCCAGGGCCAAGTTTAAGACTCACACACTATAAATATATAAATCTGCTAAAAAAATAATAAAATCCAGAATAAATATATGGTCACACTGTAGACTGTGCTTTGTACGTGACTGCAATTTGTTTAATTTGAAATAACGTGCGGTATGTCGACTATTGTGAGTAATTCTCTTAAATAGAAACTTTAATCTTTAATCAGTTAACCTCATTATGCGATACATTTACATGTAGTTGTTTGTATTACTAACGCATTAGCTTGAAGAAATTGAATCTCTTTTTATAAGCTTCCTGGATTCCAAGGTGCCCAAGTTAGAAATAAAAAAATTATAATTAAGAAATAAATTAACTGAAAGCAGTTGTAGTAAATTTTTCAAATTCCTATAAATATTAAACAAATAAATAAACTAATAAATAAATAAAAATAATATTCTTAAAATAAAATATAGCATATATATTTTAAATTTGTTGTCTTATATTTTAGCAATTTTTGTTGTACATGATTTAAAATTGATTATTCTCTTAATAATATATATATATATACATATATATCGAACTAGTGTCTGCTTCATCCTTTATTATTTCTTATTACATTTTTTTTCAAAAC